TACAGTGAACTCCCACCAACGTTATTTATTAAAGAGATTCGTTTGTACTTGGAGATCTCTTTGAAGAATATAAACAACTAGACAATCAAGAGATTAGTTGTCTCTATGGAACCATATACTTATATATATATATATATATATGTACGAGTGTATATATCTACATATATATATATATATACACATCAACATACAACTAGATAATTATTTAATGTATTTTATACTTGTATGAAATTAGTTGGATATGCATCTATATAAATATACAGATTATATATAATGTAAATATAATATTGGAATGCTTAATTATGGATACCAAAGTGACATTAAAAAATGGTATTTAATAAAAGTTGAATCATGTCTGCCAATGGTGGAAAATTCGGCATTAGGGCAGATACACCAATATTTTTTTATCATTTTTATTAATTGATACAAGAGTTATATGGTCTAAAAAAATTACATTCCATCATATATATATATAGCCGTAAATTTATTTTCATGAATATGAATGTTTTCGATATTTAAAATAAAAGCATGAAATTTGAAATTTTGAAAGGCTCAATAATTCAAGTTTGCAAAAATTAATATTTCAATATTCTAATGTTGAACATTTGGCCCGTCAAGCACCCAAATTCCAATCTTACATGAAAAAATCTTAGATTATATATATATTTTTTAAAAGTACTTAATAGTAAAAAAGATGTTTTTTAAAATATCTTCATTCCAAATTTAAATATTACCATATGAATTTTTTTTTTCAATCATATAATAAAAAGTTGTGCAACTATAAAATTACTAAGAGATTATATATATATATATATATACGTATTAGGAAAAAAGTGGGCATATTTCACTAGATTCTCGTGCTTGTTGATTAAGATATTTAATGTAATTATGTATAAATTAATTGAGATTACAAGAATTGCAAGTTGAATTATTATACAGCTAAAGCGAAAAAGGCTACATTTGAACCTTTTAATAACCTACTTGTTTAATCGACATAGGATATCAAGAAATATTGCAACCAAAATTAATTAGATTGCATAATTAATTAATTAATTGACATTATTACTCAATTAATTAATTAATTAATCTCACTCTGTTCTATACATACATACATACATATATATATATATATATATATTATACGTGCAAAAAGAGGTAGCTTTAAAAGGCCCTTATTTCGGGATTAGTGATATATTGTCACATCAAAACAACATTTAAAAATTCACATTTTACTTTGTAATGGCATTATTGTTATTTTATACAAAATATTTATTTTTTATTGTTAAATAAATTTGCAAGAAAAAGTCATTATGCTTTTGTTTTGTTTTTGTTTTCTTTTTTTTTTTAATTACATGTTTTAATTTATATTACGATCATGGAAATTATTGTAATAGCATTACAGAAGATAAATTATTTTACAGCTAATGAACTAGTTAGCTTATTATTATAATTTTATAAAATAATAAACTATAGTTCTGGTTAATTAATACTACTTCGTTGAATAAGACACGACATAGGCGGCTGTTCCAAGAGAAATTTCGATTTGTGGTTGTATAGATTATCTACGATCAACAAGATATACATATATATATATATATATGTATTACACACTTTCAAGTTGAATTTGCAGGGTTTAACATTATAATATTTGATTTTAATGATGTTAAAAACTTAAGTTACTGGTATGTTATTAAAAGTGTAGTGATTAAATTATGATAATGAATTAAAATAATGAAATTATTATATAAAATCTAAAAAAGATTACAGTTTTATAATTAATTGTTTAATTTAATCAAATATAATTTCAGGCGACGAACAAATCATGCAGAAATTAAACTGTATAATAATTTTTATGATAATATATTTGTCAATCAGTATTTTTAAGGTACATTTTTAAAATTAATTTTGATAATATTTAAAATAATTATACTTAAAAAATCATTTAAGGAATTATTTATTATTTATAAGAAATTTTTATCATCTATACACCATAAAAAAAAAAAAAGAAAAAAGGCATATAATTTCAAAAATTAAATTAAATTATCTTATATATTATAATCCTTTTTAAAGGAATTTAAATATTTAAGTAGAAATTGATTGAAGTCAACTGAGCATCCAATGACCAAATTAATGAGATTATTATTTATAAGAATAGAATGGTGACAAGACAATCTCTCATTCCAAGAGACTGAGCGAGCGAGCGAGTGAGTGAGTGATTGTAAAGGAGTTCTCAAAATCATGATTTTTGCCGGATATTATGGCCCCTGCTTTTTTCTTAGATATCCCTTATAATTTACAATTAAATAATTAATGTGATTGTTTGTTAAATAAATTATGATTAATTCCTAATGTAACAGATAATTACGTTACAATAACAAAAATATAAATGTGAGTTAAAAGACTGCCTAAAATATCAAAACACACACTAATCGGACCGTAGAATTAAACTTTTATGTTTGTTTAAATATATATATTTTTTTTGTTACAAACAATGCCTAATGGTGGTATTGTTGAGCTTAGCCCATAATATTAATAATAATATAAAGATTGAATTTATATTGGGCTTAGCCCATAATCGATGCCCAGTCTAAGTCCGGTAGATTATTTTTCTTTTTTTAAAAAAAAAAAAATAAGTGAACAGCTTTTTTTAATAAAAAAAAGGAACAGCTTTGAAAAAGTCTAATCCAACGGTCGAAATTGAATTACGTTCCATTAATATTGTGAAACTCATACGTCCGTGGAATATCATTCCAATATCTTGTCTCCATAATTCATTACCTTATTTGTTGTTAGAGCTTTAAATGAATTTTTTTAGACATTAATTATTAATTTTATAAAAATAAAATTTTATTTTTTAAGATTATTACTTTATAATTATATTGACCTATAACACTTAATTTAATAATATTAAATACTTAAATTTATAATAACTAAATTTAATTATATTTTTAATGCAAAATAAACACTTTATAGTAATTAATTTTTTTAATTTAAAATAAAAAATTATTTTATTCTCATTAAATC